AATGCACTAAAAGGTAAATAAATTCAATCTATCAATCATTTTGCTTTCCTTAACTGGGTGTAGATGTGTTGAAGCAATTTACTTAGATGTTGACATGATTTTATTTTAGATTGTAAATATTCATCATGATGATTGTGTAATTTTTTTGTAGACATAGACTATTCACACACAATGCGTCACTTCTATTTATCTAAATTTATCTGAATATCCTCAATAAAAGCATGAGCATCTGCTGTACTAATGCAATGATCCAACCTAAACGTAATATGCTAAAATTCGCTTACAAACCTATACTATCAGCAAATAAAATTCCAGACTTGACAAAATGTCATTATTGCCACCACAAAAGGCCTTCAAATGATTTGCCAAAAGGTGATACATTTTAATTCAATTCAAGGTTTATTAAAAAATATCTTCGCAGCCGTAAAAGGCTGAATTGCGATACAAATTCACAGATAAAAACATGCAAAATTACAAAAATATACATATTAATTACAATGAACATAGTTTGACATAAATTAAAAATCAAATATAAAATATATAAACAGAAAACCAAAGAGTTACAAAGTGAGGTTTTAGAAAAATGGGTTGTTCAAATTAAATCAGGAGTTTAGCGATTATTTAAATTTTAAAACCATTGTAGACGTCTAAAGACAAGATGAGAAATTGCGAAGATTATATTTCAAGTTAAAAACTCAACTTTGGAATGATAAAAGATAAGTTTGTTCATTAGAAGTAAATCATCGATTTACAATATTCACATAGTAATAAGTTAAATGTATTGCACAAAGTTTTTAGGAAAGTACAAACAAATAAAACAAATTAAAAGTTTTTAGGAAAGTAAAATTCAAATATAGAAATATCGAAAACAAATTCTTCTTAAAAACAACAAATGGTTACATAATTAATGCAAATAAAGCAACTTCCATTAAAAAGTTATGTATAAGAGATTACATTTTTGTGTTTTATAGCCGGACTATGTAAGGTATGGCACTTTTTCGGTAACGTTCTGTTCTGCATCTGGTTTCTTTCAATTTATCACCGTTTTGGAGTTGGCGACGAGATGACCTTGGCTCTGGGAGCCAGTCACCAAAGTTTCTGAACAACTGTGAAGCAAACTTCCCGCACAATAATCTAGATGCGCGAATATGGCTGTGAAGAAACAGGTCACTAAAAAACAGCTCGTGCCGCTCGTATGCGAAGCCCGAATGATCCGATGAAAGGCCCCCAATTCTGCGGCATATATTCCTGGCATGTTTGTTTAATACTAGCCGCGTTCTATCAATACGTTATTTGACTGTTCGTCATTGTCGAAACCTGTGTAGGTCCTTCGTGGCAATACGTTGGACAAAATGATATGAGCATCGGGGAGGAGCGCGAAGGCGGCTAACAACCTACAATAGGAATAAAAGAAAAACTTCCGGTAGTTTATTGTTCAGCAACATTCGACCTATGTCTAATCAAGAACCCTTTCCATTAGCGATTGTCCAAAATTGCCCGCTTATTCAAACAATTGGCTTTAGAGGGAATCGGAAACTTTGTCTTAGATCCTTTAAAAATAAAACAAAATGAAAATTAAAAAACTTTAGGTCAATCAGGAACCCCCCCCCCCCTTTTTTTAAAATCTTTTTTTATTTAGGGCTTCAATACAACACCATATCACAAACACTGACGACACGCAGGGACGTGTATCTCAGATTTAGAATTGTTAAACGATCCCTTTCAGTTTAATAGTCGCTTTGATAGGGCTTAAATCAGACCACTGCATTTAAAAAAAAAAAAAAAATTGCTCAGTTTGTAGAAGAAAACATTACCCCAAGATGGGTGCAATTACTCCCAGCGTTGGTCTGACATATAATTACCCTGATGTTGGGAAATAATTGTATCCATTATTTTGTTGTCGATAATCTTCAAGTCACCATCACACAAGTGGCACAACATTCTCTAAGTGTCTATTAATTGGATGATAAGGATACGATTCAATTGCCAATATGTAAGCTCCATCGTTCATGTACTAGACGGTTTAATTTTTCGCTTACTCCTATAAGAAGAGGGGGGGGGGGGGCGACTGACTAGCGAGGGAGACTACTTTGCACGAGATGTTAGCTTGTCAGAGCAGGGATGTGATAGAGAAGGACTGGAATCAAGCCGCTTTCCTTTGATCTCATGCTCCAAGCCGCCGAAAAGTTATGCGCTAATCTGCAACTGTTGACCAGGTGGTGAGATAAAAGATCGCCTGAAATTTCAGGATTTAGAATTCCTACATCAGGAAATGGTGTCACAGCAACTGTTCGCTGTCCCTTTCAATGATTTATCATCCATTGTTGAATATGTAAAGAGTAGAACAAGCGAACGCAAACTTGTGTAATTTCATCCTTTTTTAAACTTCAAAAATATAAAAAGCACGCGAAAACACGCATTAGCAAGCTTAATGTTATTGAAGATTGTAAATCATGGGTTAAATAACGGGACATTAAAACATACTCAAATTAGCGCATTATCCTGCAAAATTGAGTTTTGTCAGAATGTAATGTTCTTTTACCAACTCTGTCACACAAATTATAGGAAGGACGGAGTACTAAATTTGAAATTATGTTTGATGCACTATTCCCAATACAATCCCCATATAAAGTTTTTGATTTACACTGACATTTTGCCGGTAATTTAATATTTTGTAATAAATGTAAAACTGGTGCCTGGCTTCCGAAAGTCCCCGCAGTGGAAACGCGGTGCGGAGCATGGAACTTCAAAGCCAAGTGGAATGTTACACATCCCATTGTTACGTTTTACAACTCATGAATGCGTTTGAATAAATCACAAAAGTTTCTCCTCCTTCCTTTAACCTCCCTGGTCAGAGAGAACGAATATTCACATTTCATGAATAATTCATTGAAACATCATTGAGTTCTTTTTGTCAATTTCGAACCATCGGCTAAACTTGTTTAGTTAAGACGGTCTCGTCTGAATGATGCAAAGTGCGCGCACATAACTATGCAACTTCTGAATTGGATTTATTATAGACATCGTGAACTATCTATCAAACAGTAGAATAATTCAATACCTACCTATACATTGTGACTCGGATCTTGCAAGTGCGGAAAGGTCTAGCCTCTAGTCACCTTCAACCCCCTTCAACCAGTCGTTTCGGGTATCCTACGTGATATATTGTCAAAAGGCTCTATGTGACCACACAAAATGACTAGATTTTCAATATTATGAATGATCTGAGCTTGGTACGTCCGATTTTCCTAATACTCTACGAACCTATATCTTTCGTGTTTTTGTTTATTTCACGAAGAAACCCTTCAAATATAAAAGAAATACACTCTCACACAGAAAGTTTTATCTTCTTGGACAAATGTCGGCAAAAGGTCTGGCAACGCCCCTGTTAGTTATCACAGTTTTACAATCAAAACAATCTGATTTGTAGTTAATCGAGGGATCGAGGGGCAATGGATCTGTTTCAGAAAAAAGGTTTAATCATTCTGTTCGTTCTGCGTCACTCTGAGTCACCTGAGATAATGGACAATAAAAAAAAGGCTTTGCGGAAACCCCTCGACGGTCTTCTACCCAGGAGTACGTCTGGTCATAAATTGCTCCAATATTAGCGAGTTTTCGCAACCGGCGACGAGGCCTTGTACAACACTTTTCTTAGCGGGGGAAGGGGGAGGGGTGTCACACTCAGAGCGAAAATTTCCTCGTAGCGTCCAAACCTACGACGGTTTTCAGCAGAATTAGCGTCGGGAGTCGAGCTAGTACGGGGTGGCAAGCTCATTTTAATACCTCGTAGTCAGCACTTGCGTCGCCGTGCGAAAACTCGCTAATGTAATGCTGAAGGAAGAGTGGAGGTCTTGTACGGTGGATCGTGGATGACCGTTTGTGGTGGTTCCTGGTATTTGTTCCAGGCAAGGATGGTTTGCAGGATGCTGGGGTTCGACGGTGCTCTAGACGCGCCACGATCGACTAGGTTTGGTCCGGGTTCCGGTGACATTCTTTACATCGATTGTTTTGGATCAGAAGACAGCCTGGCAGACTGTTTCACTTTTGTTGACTCTTCCTGTGAGCATCACAGGGATGTAGGTGCCGTGTGTTACTCAGGAGGTACGTTTGGACATGAGGAAACGGCCTTAATTCTAAATGGCATACTTTTAGAATCACATGAAAAGGAAAAAAAACTATACTTTTGAACTTATTTAGTCATTTATATATTTGTTCCTACCGTTACCTGAGAATTAATTAAATTATAAAAGTAAAGTTCTGTTTGGAAATATGCCTGTATAGGTCTTATCACATTTTATGATAGCATTTGACCTTGATTTTTTCCAGGCACTCCTTGAATGTGGGCCAACATGCAGTCTTATCACTGTTGAGAACTCATACACATAATACATGTACATTTAGTTTGCTTTAGTTTTTTCTTTTTTAATTTAGTACACCCGAATTCTTTCGAGATTCATCTGATCGGTGGCACCACCATAACAATTTTGTTCCTCAATAAAATCTTTCACTTTAATACTGCAAAGATTCGTTCATTCATTTATATATTATGTAATTACGTAAAGTATTACCTGTGTTGCCCACATTCATTTACACGGCGGTATTTCTCTGGTGGTTTGTCTCGCCAAGCGCCAAGTCTGAACATTTTGGGGGGACATTTCTTACGTTTCTTGAATGATTTGTGAGCAATAAATGTTAAATTTCGGTCAGGCTATTTTAAAAGCATATCTTATTTCGTACACGTTGGTTTAATCAAGAAGTTACTAGCCTCGTAACTTCTTGGTTTAATTAAACTGTATAATACATACAAATCTGAGCTCCTGTGAAGTGTGAACATTTAAAGCATTTTTTCCTTCTCCTTAGCCCACCCTGAGCCATTTCAAGTTCGTCTTGCCGGTGGGTCTAACGATGCTGAAGGCAGAGTAGAGGTACTGTATAGTGGATCCTGGGGAAATGTCTGTCATGATGGCTGGGATTTGAGAGACGCGAGGGTGGTTTGTAGAATGCTGGGGTTTGATGGAGCCTTGGACGCACCAGGATCTGCAAGGTTTGGTCAAGGCTCTGGTCGTATTCTTCTGAACTATGTCAACTGTGAAGGAACAGAAGACAACCTAGCTGACTGTGCTAATCCAGGGTTTAGAAATTACAATTACTGTGGTCATGGTCTTGATGTCGGCGTCATTTGTTATTCAGGAGGTATGTTTTTTAAAAAGCTATATTTTCAATCAACCTCTATGAAATGCTTCGATAACTCTTTGCTTAAATACTATATATATGAGTCCTGCAGGCAAGGCCCAAACCTTAAATACCAAGGCATTAACTATATTGGATTGAAAGGCCAAGGCTATACACTCCAAGACCAAGACCAAGGACAAATCATTGATAACGTGGGGAAAAATGGAAAGTGTATTCTAGTATTATCGGAAAATGTATCACTGCTCATAAACCCTCAATGCCCTTTCTTATTTTTATTTGCTTTTACGCCCAATGTACAATTTAAGGCTTCTTAATTGGTATGCCAAGGTAGTGAATTAGAGGTCTCATGCAAGTAATACAGCAACCAGTGGCGTAGCAAGGGATTATAGCATTCGTGAAAAACAAATTTTCTTCAGAGGTGACATTAAATATCATTTAAAAAAGCCATTTTTGACTTATCCTTAGGCTGGTGGGGGGGGGGGGGGAGGGGCGGATAGAATCAGGAGCGAACAAAGCAAGCATTAACAGAGGTAATAATAATAATAATAATGATGGCTTCTTATATAGCGCACATGTCCGTCACGTTGTGACGCTCCTGGCGCTGCCCCGATTATTACCCTATCTGGCGCTGCCCCGATTATTACCCTATCTATCAAAAAAGGCTTGTGTATTGACATTAACGAGCATAAACGGGGGCCACATCAATTTTACATCAGAACACTTCTTCTGCCAGGCGAGACACATGGACATTTGTTGCTCTCTTGGGATTTGTAGCAGGAGAGGCATTTTTCTTGATCTTGTATGTTCACCTGCATGTGCAATTGGTAGTGCCTTAATAAAAAACTGTTATCAGACAAAGCATCCAAATTACTTTTACAATTTTACTTGACAAAAAAAGTAAAACTAATAATGAATTTGAATTGCCTTGGAATTGCTAAAAGAAAATACAACGCTTCGAATCCTCAAGGCCAAGACAAAGAGAAAAAGAAGGCGCCTTGAGGCTAATGCACTACAACATAGTTATGATTTGTTATGGTTTATCACATTTCAAAAGAAATGTTCGTAGTTTTAGAAATACACTGTCTTGTGGTTATTTTTTTCATAAATGATATCGAAACGCTAATAATAATACTGAACAAAATGAACATTTTCGCACTGTAATCATTTCCACGAAAGTAGTTTAAGCCGCGTGTAAATATTATATCCTTACACTGGTACAAACTAACTATCTTTTTTAAAAACTGTTTTTAGCTCATCCGAATCCATTCCAAGTTCGTCTTGTCAGTGGGTCTAACGATGCTGAAGGCAGAGTAGAAGTACTGAACGATGGATCCTGGGGAACTATCTGTGATACTTGGTGGGATCTGAGAGACGCGAGGGTGGTTTGTAGAATGCTGGGGTTTGATGGAGCCTTGGACGCACCGAGATTTGCTAGGTTCGGTCAGGGCTCTGGTCGTATTCTCCTGAACTATGTCAAATGTGATGGAACAGAAGACAACCTAGCTGACTGTGCTCACCCAGGGATTGGAGATTACAATTACTGTGCTTATGGTCGCAATGCCGGCGTCATTTGTTATTCAGGAGGTATGTTTTTAAAAAGCCATATTTTTAATCAACTTATATAAATGTGCTTCCATCAATCTTTGCTTAAACACTAAATATATGAGTGTTACAGTCGGGTCAATATCGATATTCATAAGGACCGCTATTCATAAGGTTCGCTATTCATAAGGTCGACTATTCATAAGGACCGCTATTCATAAGGTCCGCTTTTCATAATTGGAGAAAAGGGTCATTATTCATAAGGGTCATTGTTCATAAGAACCGCTATTCATAATCAAAGAAGAGGGTCGGTATTCATAATATTAGAAGAGGGTCGCTATTCATAAAACGAAATCGGGGTCGTTATTCGTAAGGGTCCCTATTCATAATATTACAAAAGGGTCGGTATTCATAACACAGAAAGAGGGTCGCTATTCATAATAAGAAATAAGGGTCGCTATTCATGATACGAAATGAGGGTCGCTATTCATAATGCAAAATGAGGGTCGCTATTCATAAGGATCATCATTCATAAGGGTCATTATTCATAATCGATGAAGAGGGTCGCTATTCATAATAGGAGAAGAGGGTCGCTATTCATAATAGAAGTAGAGGGTCGCTATTCATAATAGAAGAAGAGGGTCGCTATTCATAATAGAAGAAGAGGGTCGCTATTCATAATAGGAGAAGAGGTTCGCTAATCATAATTGTAGAAGAGGGTCGCTATTCATAATAGGAGTAGACGGACGCTTTTCATAATAGTAGAAGAGGGTCGCTATTCATAATACGAAATGAGGGTCGCTTTTCATAATAGGAGTAGACGGTCGCTATTCATAATAGAAAAAGAGGGTCGCTATTCATAATAGTAGGAGAGGGTCGCTATTCATAATACGAACTGAGGATAGCTATTCATAATAGGAGTAGAGGGTCGCTATTCATAATACGAACTGAGGATCGCTATTCATAATAGGAGTGGAGGGTCGCTATTCATAATACGAAATGAGGGTCGCTATTCATAATACGAGATGAGGGTCGCTATTCATAATACGAAATGAGGGTCGCTATTCATAATACGAGATGAGGGTCGCTATTCATAATACGAAATGAGGGTCGCTATTCATAATACGAGATGAGGGTCGCTATTCATAATAGGAGTAGACGGTCGCTATTCGTAATACGAAATGAGGATCGCTATTCATAATAGGAGTAGAGGGTCGCTATTCATAATAGGAGAAGAGGGTCGCTATTCATAATAGGAGTGGAGGGTTGCTATTTATAATACGAAATGAGGGTCGCTATTCATAATACGAAATGAGGGCCGCTATTCATAATAGAAGAAGAGGGTCGCTATTCATAATAGGAGTAGAGGGTCACTATTCATAATAGAAGAAGAAGAGGGTCGCTATTCATAATAGGAGAAGAGGGTCGCTATTCATAATAGTAGGAGAGGGTCGCTATTCATAATAGGACTAGACGGTCGCTATAATTCATAATACGAAATGAGGATCGTTATTCATAATAGGAGTAGAGGGTCGCTATTCATAATAGGAGTAGAGGGTCGCTATTCATAATAGGGGTGGAGTGTTGCTATTCATAATACGAAATGAAGGTCGATATTCATAATACGAAATGAGGGTCATTATTCATAATAGGAGTAGATGGTCGCTATTCATGATACGAAATGAGGTTCGCTATGCATAATAAAAGTAGAGGGTCGCTATTCATAATAAGAAATGAGAAGATAAACGATTTATTGTACCATTCTCGACTCTTAATCCTTGTCTGAATACAGTTTTCCCCCTCGCCTTGACCTTTCATTAAGTTTTAGAGAAAAATGACGATTTGTTGTATCATTCTCGACTCTTATTTCTTGTCTGAATTCAGTCCCCCCCCCCCCCCCTCCTACGCAAAGCGCGTAAGCTTTGACCTTTCATAATTTGATGAACTTATTAGAGAAAGAAGACGATTCGTTGTACCATTCTCTACCCTGTTTCCTTGTCTGAATTTGGTTCCCCAACCCCCTCCGGCGCGAAGCGCGGAAGCTTTGATGTTTCATTAAATTATTAGAGCAAGAAGAGGATTTGTTGTATCATTCTCGACTATTAATCCTTGTCTGAATTCTATCCCCCCCCCCTCCCTCTTGCGCAAAGCGCGTAAGCTTTGACCTTTCATTGTTTAATGCAATTATTAGAGAAATAAGATGATTCGTTGTTCCATTCTCGACTTTTAATCCTTGTCTGAAGTCAGTTTCCCCCCTCCCGCGCGAAACGTGGAAGCTTTGGTGTTTCATTAAATTATTAGAGAAAGAAGATGATTCGTTGTTCCATTCTCGACTCTGGCTACGCGCCTGCTTTAAAGGGAAAATGAAACAATCATGATTGTGATAGCACACAATAAGTTTAGTAGAAATGAAAAAGAACAACAACTATTGCAACAACCATGGATAAATCACGGCCGGGAGCGTGGGCCGAATGTCATATCATAGTTTTGTGTTACTGGGCGAGGGGGCGTAACGACCAAGCGAGATTTTGCAATGTTGAATGCTGACATTATGCACTCTAGGAAATCCCTAAGCCCAATATGAACGTTCTTTCCGCTATAATTATATCTTTCTAGCTATATTTCTAAATTTCCTGGGGGACGTGTCCTCCTATCGGGCCCAGGATTGCCGCCCTGTCCATGATTACTACCAACATGAACTCAAATACAAGCTCAAACGAGTTTATATGAGCTGAAGCCAAATGAAGGGCAAAATAAGAGTTGTGAAGCGGCCCCCCTACCATTAATTACAAAATTGACTTTGCAGGGCAGGGGCTGTTTTAACGTTTAAATTTGATTCCGTTGCTCGAAAGTAACTGTCACTAAGCGCCATTTCCTTGTCTTTCCACCTTTCTAACCCCCCCCCCCCTCCCCCCCTCCCACTCAGTGTTATCTAGGGTAAGCGTACGCATTTCCCTCTCTTTGAAAGCACCCCTCTATCTCCGGTGTGTAAAGTCAGTACGGGCCGGATTTTTGTGTATTACGAGCCGGACTTTGTTGCGTGAAAAGTACCCCTTTACCGCCAATAGGGGGGGGGGGGGGGGGGGGGGGGGTCGCGGCCGTTTCGGCCCCCTGGATCCGCCGCTGAGTATGCCTGTGGTGTCCAGTGGCGTTTCTGGCGTTTGTTCTCGTTTGGGAGGGGGGTGAGAGGGGCGCAAAAACGTATCTTTTACCTCTTTATTTTCTTTCTCTTCTCTTTTTTTGCTGAGGGGAGGGGGAGGCAAGGGCCTTTCGATCCAAACCTTGTTGGCGGGAAAATCGCAACTGACATCTCGTTTCTTTACTTTTCTTTTTCCTCTTTTTTCTTTCACCTTTTTCTCCTCTTTTGTATGGGAAAGGGGTGGAGGCAAGACCCCCCCCCCCGATTACCTTCTTTTCCCCCATTTCTTTTCTTCTTCCTCTTCTTTCTTTCCTTTCTCTCCTCTTTACCTTTCCCTTCTTTTCCTTCTCTCTCTTTCTCTCTCCTTTATTTTGGGGGGGGGGGGGGCGGTGGGCGGGGGGAGCATTTGCCACCTAGCCCCCTGGATCCGCGCCTGGATGTACAGACGGTAAACGGTACGAAAAATGACCGGTATAGGCAGGGGCGTCGCTAAAGGGGGAGGATGTGGGGGTGCGACACCCCCCCCTCCCACCTGTCGGGATATTGTCGGTAAAATTGCGCTGCTGTCGGGGGGGGGGGGGATGAGAAAAGGGGGAGGGGGGAATGAGAGGGAAAGGAAGAGAGAGAAAACAAGAAAAGGAAAAGATGGGAAAGAAAGGAAAGAGAAAAAAGGGAAAAACCGAGAAAGAGAAAAAAAGAAAACAAGGAAGGAGAGGAAAGAAAGGAAAATAAAGAAAAGGAGAAAGGGACAAAAATAGGAAAAGGAAAGAAAAGAAACGGGGAATGAAAAAGAGGAGAGAGAGAGAGAGAGGGCCTAAGAGAAGAAGGGCGGGAGTAAGAGAGAGAGAGAGAGAGAGAGAGAGAGAGGAGGGCTTGGGGGTAGTTGCCCCCAACTTTGAAACGTGGTTTATTTTTAATTCGATACCAGTGATTTACAAATGTTGCTGAAATAAAACGATTTTCCAAGTTTCCGAGATTTTGTTCACCTTTTTGTAAATCATACTTTTGTATGCGTTTGTTGAAAAGTGACTAATTCCAAAATTTATACTCGTGCAAAAAATATGCTACTTTAGTAGCTAACGTGTCATGGTTTGAACCCCCCTCCCCCCCCCCCCCCCACACACACACACATACATCTTTTTGAAAAAGTATGTTAATAGGGAAATATAAAGAAAGAAAGGTGACCTGCCGGTTTCACAAATGAGGTATCAAAATATGCTCATCTGACCGTAATTAAATGCCTAAAACCCCCGAGCTTCCGGGAGTATGCAGACCCCACCAAAGGCCCTTAGGCGGGCCCCTGGAACTTCATCTGACCTTATTTTAATGCTTAAAACACCAGAGCTTCCTTGATCCTCACTTGCCCCTGGACCCCACGCCAATTTAAACAATATTGCCCAACTTTTTCACAGTGTATAGGCTAATGGTCCGGTCAAACTCCGTTTGTTTTCGATGTTAGGAAAGTTTCAGGAGATCAAGTTTTTTGATAAATCAAGTTAGGTTAATTAATATGATTATTAGTATCCTGAGGCATGATAATTCATGGAAAACTGAAATCTTGAAACTCTTCATTGGCTGAAATTGAAGAGCTTCTGTGTACCTGGATCTGACTAAGGCTATATAATTTGTAGTTCCATAAGTCCTACTAAAAGTTACTTTTTAAACAAATATTATTTTCGTATAAACAATTACTAGTTTCTTAAAATAGCAAACTAAGTCCTTAAATGGCTATGATAATTTGCCAGTGGCGTAGCCACGATAAGCTTAGTCGGGAGGGGGGCAGTGTGTTGGGGCAAGATTTCCCACGAGCGGGACAAATGACGATAGGATTATGTGTGTTTTCCTTCTTGTTTTCACCGCTGGAGCGGGGGAAATATATTAGCTAGATTATGGGGATGTCTATAATTATCAAAGCTAAAAAGTAAAATAATTTTTTTTTAAATACATAATACAGGGGATGCAACCGTTCGCATAATGTCTTACGGTTAAAAAAAATCTGATTCTGAATATCCAACTTCCTTACTTATATGGAAAATATGTCGTTCGGCATTGTATATTTACGAAAAGCTTGAATATGGTATTTAACTTAAGTCCCTACAACCCTCTCTCTCTGTCGCTCGAAGGCAACACTGATACAACTCCACAGCCCCCACCCTTAAACACACACAGGCAACGCCATCTATGAACTACTTGGACGAGAATTGTCGCTAATACGTACATGTACCAAGGGAATACTGCCGGGAGGGTGGGCAGAATGGCGCAGCGGGGTCGGGCTTACTTGGGGGGGGGGGGGGGGGCTGGTGACCGGAATGATGGGACACGTTCATTATTGGGGCACGGCTTTTTTTTTCTTCAGAAATGTGAGTTTTCAATAAATATTTTCTTCAAATGTTTGGGACCATGTGGCCAACCCCAACCCCGGCCTACGCCCCAGCCACGGCCTACGCTGTACCCATGGGGTGTCCTCTATCCAGTATGTCGCTTTCTTATTAACATTTAGTTTATTGCTTATGTCATTTTGACTTTTTCGGTATTATGAATAGCGACCCTCTTTTCCTATGATGAATAGCGAACCTCGTTTCGTATCCTGAATAGCGACCATCTACTCCTATTATGAATAGCGACCCTCACTTCGTATTATGAATAGCGACCCTCTACTTCTTTTATGAAAAGCGACCCTCATTTCGTATTATGAATATCGACCTTCATTTCTTATTATGAATAGCAACCCTCTACTCCTTTAATAAATAGCGACCCTCTTCTCCTATTATGAATAGCGACCCTCTTCTCCTATTATGAATAGCGAACCTCATTTCGTATTATGAATCGCGACCCTCTTCTCCTATTATGAATAGCGACCCTCTTCTCCTATTATGAATAGCGACCCTCTTCTCCTATTATGAATAGCGAACCTCATTTCGTATTATGAATAGCGACCCTCTTCTCCTATTGTGAATAACGACCCTCTTCTCCTACTATGAATAGCGACCCTCTTCTATTATGAATAGCGAACCTCATTTCGTATTATGAATAGCGACCCTCTTCTTCTATTATGAATAGCGACCCTCTACTCCTTTTATGAATAGCGACCCTCTTCTCCTATTATGAATAGCGCACCTCATTTCGTATTATGAATAGCGACTCCTTACATTAAAAAAAAAACATTTTTAAGCATTTTTCTTGATCTTGTATGTTCACCTGCATGTGCAATCGGTAGTGCCTTAATAACAAACTGTTATCAGACAAAGCATCCAAATTACATTAAAAAATTTACTTGACAAAAAACTAAAACTGAATTTGAATTGCCTTGGGTTTGCTAAAAGAAAATACAACGCTTTGAATCCTAAAGGCCAAGACAAAGAGAGAAAGGAAGGCGCCTTGAGGCTAATGCAGTACAACATAGTTATGATTTGTCATGGTTTATCACATTTCAAAAGAAATGTTCGTAGTTTTAGAAATAAACTTGTCTGGTGTTTATTTTTTTCATGAATGTTATCGAAACGCTAATAATAATACTGAACAAAATGAACATTTATAGCACTGTAATCATTTCCACAAAAGTAGTCTGAGCCGCGTGTAAATATCATATCCTTACACTGGTACAAACTAATTATCTTTTTTAAAAACTCTTTTTTAGCTCATCCGAATCCATTTCAAGTCCGTCTTGTCGGCGGGTCTAACGATGCTGAGGGCAGAGTAGAGGTCATGCATGGTGGATCCTGGGCAACTATCTGTAGTGAGCAGTGGGATCTGAGAGACGCCAGGGTGGTTTGTAGAATGCTGGGATTTGATGGAGCCTTAGCCGCATCTGGATCTGCTAGGTTTGGTAAGGGCTCTGGTGCTATTCTCCTGACCTATGTCAATTGTGGCGGAACAGAAGACAACCTAGCTGACTGTGCTCACCCAGGGATTGGAGATTACAATTACTGTGCTTATGGTGGCAATGCCGGCGTAATTTGTTATTCAGGAGGTATGTTTTTAAAAAGCTACATTTTTAATCAACTTCTATAAAATGCTCCCATAATTCTTTGCTTAAACATTATATAGGCCTATATGAGTGCTGCAGTCAAGGCTCAAGCCTTAAAGACCAAGGCATAAACTATGTTTACTAGCAAGGCCAAGGTTCGTAGTTTTATAAATAAACTGTATGTTCTTTTTAATTAATAATAAATGATATCGAAACGTTAATAATGACACTGAAAATTGTGAATAACTCATCTAGTGTATCCCTCAATTTGCTCCCGGCCTATGAAATGAAGGGAACAATATTGTGGTTTAAGAAATCATTTTAAAATAAATCAAACTTGTCTACGGCAATGAATAAAAAGGGGCTTACCATTACAAGCCACGCTTCCAGTAAGCCTCTCAGTTTCGACTTAACTAAAACATGATGGGGAATGACATACTAAACAATTTTGTTTTCATTTCGTTCTAGCTCATCCAAACTCTGAGGGAGTTCGGCTCGTGGGTGGATTCAACAGTTCTGAAGGCAGAGTGGAGATCAGGTACAGCGGCACCTGGGGAACAGTTTGCGACGATGGCTGGGATTTGCTAGATGCAAAGGTCGTTTGCAGAATGCTGGGATTTGGTGACACCTTAGCTGCACCAGGTTCAGCACAGTTTGGCGAGGGGTCCGGTGAAATCTTTCTGTCTCTTGTCGGGTGCGATGGTACGGAAGACAATCTTGCGGACTGCGCACATCTAGGGTTCGGAGTGCACAACTGCCAACATAAAGAAGACGCTGGGGTCACATGTCTGTTAGGAGGTACAATGCCTCGCTATTTATTTTGCTTATTGCATCAAGTGTTCATTTTTTTATTTAACTATTCAAATTGACCTAAAAATGGACACAATGGACAGAATGAATTGCTTACACTAATGTTGTGTATGGATAGCTTTATTCCAATATTCCAAAAGAACCTTCTCACCAAAATTCACATTAAACATGAATACGCGTATACCGGACAACGGAATCAAAGACAGTATATAATTTAAAGCATTTACCAATTAAGTTGAAGTCAGTGCAAAAGGTAAGAAATGAAGAATAATGATAAGACTTCAGTTACTTTCTTTTCACTCGCTTCCATGCCATATTCAAAATAATATTCGTAATTGATATATGACAAAACACACACCCAGCGGTCAAAACCAATCACGCACACTGTACGTATACAATTAGGATTTGATTGGGCATTAGCTGCTCTACCCCAAGCAAGATTTGGCCAAGGTTCTGGTGAAGTCTTGCTGGAAGGTGCTCAGTGTATTGGGACAGAAACCAGTCTCATAGATTGCAATCATTGGATCGGACTCCATAATTGCGGGCACAAGGAAGATGCCGGCGTCTCCTGCATGCGTGTTGCTCATCGAGGTAAACATCACTTCTGCACATAGTATTAATAACAATATTTTGACCAAGGCTGGTTTATCTTACCAGGTCCTCTTAAATACACTGCATCATATAAACGAAAAACAGCTTTCACGAATTGTCTCTGTAGTCAATCAATTTAAAGCATGGAAAGATTTCATCAAAATTTGAATTAATGGTCAGATGGTAAATAAAATCCATCAACAATTTGAGTAGATTCTTTACTAGATCTGAATACCTGTACAAATTTTACCTTTGGCATGGTCACTTCTGACATATATCTCTCTAGTATTGTTGTCCATGACATACTTTACTCCCTTTTCTCCCTTGAATGGATTAAATGTCGAATTTCGGATTGTTACTGTACAGGTCAATTAAAAATACAACTAAAGTGACGAAAGTAAATCCCCTGCAGTGAAACTCACACATCTAGCCTTTCAAAATATCTATTTTAGGACATTGATACTCCTAGACGAAAATTAGTATATAAATGCATTGGCTACCATCAAATGTAAACTTTGAAAAGCAGGCCAATGCGTTTTTTATGTGGGGTAACATGGGTTACATCTTTTAAATGATTACGGTTTTTCTCCCGTCACAGAGCCACCAGTGGGTTTAACCCTTATACACGAGAACGAAGGGACAGCAATCAACTCCAGCTTTCTCAAGGTCAGAGTTGATGTTAATACAACGATAAGATGCCTAGCCAATGATACATCAGTGTACCTCCAGTGGTATCCCAATTGTTCTGATCTTTCTTCCCATGGATGCCATGAGAGTGAGCCACACAACGGTGGCCGTGCATTGTCATTTACCCCAAGAGCGAGTCAAAATGGAACCATTCTAACATGTCGAATAGAGAACACGTATGAAGCACGAGGAAATATTAATACCTCGATTACATTACAAGTAGAAGGTATGTTTTTTTATTCACTTTCTTTTACTTTTGAATTGAGAATTTTACTAATTCACGTACAACGTGTATTATATAGATTGCAGTTACATATTTTCTTATCGTACTATGCTTAACTGTACTCTTAGCCGTATTATAATGTAATATATTGTTAATTTAATGTCATTATTCATAGAAAATTTTAGTTTTGTAAAGTTTATGTCAAGTATTTGTCCTATGCATTGAAATATTTATGTATTATTGTATTTAATGTTAAGCACATTGAAGTGTATTACGTAACATGTTATATGAATGTAACATTTTATTTATTTATTAATACTGTTTGTGCAAAAACTTTTTTCTTCTTGATGAATGTCTATGTCTTGCCACAAACGTTTACCTAAAATGGATTTATGTAAATGCAGACAAAAAGATTTGCACTTGCCGCATATGCGTACACAATGTTTAACAAAAAATTATATTGTACCATGGACCTGTCACCTGGAATCCGCTTCCCTCAAAGAATCTAAATCACCTAATGTTTTTAAAAGCAGGTTCAAAACAGTTATTCCTGCAAAATATTAATCTAACTTGAACCTGTTACTCTATTTATTTTTGATATATTATATTGTATTTTGTCATGTCCCTGTAATTTTCTTATTATATTTATTGTTAAATTCCATATCTTCTTTAAGTCGGCAGCTTATAAAGGTCACTTTCTGTCTGGCTACTACCTACCAAGCAACTATTATATTGTTTTACAAATATATATACATATATTATATTATTGTGATGTGACAATGTATAATGTATATGTATATGTTTTCTATTTTTGATTGATTATGTGAAATCAAATTGAATTACATTTTTAATTTTTTCCCCTTCTTTCACAGTATGTGTTCAACATCTTGCAATCGTCAGAAACGACTCCTTGGGATCTACCGTCGGTGGTTACAGTGCATTGAGCTGTCGAACCAATACCAGTAACTTCAATCTGGCATCGTCATCACTCTTCTTCACCACATCTTACCTGGACGGGAAAGGAAATGAAAATACGAATGCTTCTTGGGAAAATGCCGGAGCGTTACATCTGGCTAGCTACAAGCCTGATTTAAACGTAAGCTCTCTGTCTTGCTGTGTATCAAAGACCTCTCTATGCCCAGGGTTTTGCTCAGAAGAATACTTCAACGTACTCAATGGTAAGGAATAAAACACGAATGTCCACTTGTCACCTGTAAACGTTAACTTACACTTCTCTCCTACCGACATCATCACATAATTTAAATGAAAAGCACATTCAGTTGTTACATGATAAGAACTAAATTATTTGGGTGTCAAAATACAGTCCCAGTGATCTGCGATACTATTGACATCTCTTAATTGATTTCGAAGCTGATTAAAATAAATGCACTGAATGTGGCCACAACATAATTCGATCAAATGTTGATAACAGACAAGAAACTTAGACCTTTCTTTCTTTTATTTGGTTCATTATATCTATCATCTACAGACCACCCTGCAATTACAACCGTGGCTAGTACCACCGGATTTCTAGGTAAGATGGATTCAATAATTATTTATTTCCTATCGGAAAATTTGATAACATTTCATGAACGAAATCGTTTTGTTCTTCATGGATTATCCTTTAGCAGTCGTTAAAGTATATCACTTTGACATTTTCAAATCTATTTTGGGGGTATGAAATATCCAGGATTCTTAATCTTTAATTGGCTCTCCCAAGTCTTTTACAGCTAAGTTACTTTCTGTTTTTTCCGGATTTATATGTACATTAGAAGGTATAAGTTTATATTAATGTTGTCTTTCTAGAAATGTATAAGTATCAAAATGTATGAATAGTTAATATAAACATATTGCTCCGGTTGTCTCATTTTCGCTCGCTGGACCAATACCAGCACAAACGTAGCTAGTTCGACGTCACTACCAAACTAGCCAATCAGCTGTCAATGACGTCATATTGTATGAGGCGGCAAATATATTTTGTGAAAATATCGAAAAAATGACTATTTCTAATCGTAAACTAGTTTTATTTCTGTATGGAAACGCAGCCATTGTAATCTTGGCATGCATTTAAGTCATCAAAATAGGTTAAATTACGTCTTACATGATTCAAGGAGTCTATTTTGCAGGAAAATTGTCAATTTCGTAGAATGTTCCACTATGTTGCAGGGTGTGCCATTGGGTAAAGTGTGTGAACCGGGTATGCGGAAATGGTGTATTGGGCAGGGGAAGTGAGCGTGTTCGTGTGTGTGGTAATTGTATGTGTGTCAGATGGCTAATCATGAATCTGCAGTAAACTGTCTACATCACAGTCCACAGATAAATATGTGCCTTGAGCGTATATAGCAGACGGCAATCGGCGGAGCAGACGACACTTGATAGTGATTTTGTATGTGAGATTGCTTTGCTAAATATAAACTACAAGAACCTTTTCCATATCTTTACACTATCATTGATATCTGATAAATAAACAGTTAGTAAAATAAACCTACCGAACTACATAATACAATGAAATACTTGACTGAAAGTAGGGGAGTTTGATATGGTTTGGTATGTAAATACATATCAATCAATTGTGCTGTAATTTTGAGGCATGACTATACATGTATCAGTACAATAATTTAACAGTATGATACTAATAAGAGGTATTTAAAAGATAATGAAATAAATACATACTGTACTTGTTATCACTAAAGTTGTCAAAGTAAGTTTACATTTGCCGGTATGCCCTTGGTTGACGATTATGTATTTGGGAAACTCGGCGTGATAATTGTTTATAATATGACACAATTATTTCAATTGAATAGATCCTCATTAGCTCTTAAAGTATTTTTCTTTTCTCTGCAGATTCGGTGCCATTCGAAATGTACGCTGTAGGAGCCACGGTTTTTATCATCATGTTTGTCATTGTTTTCTTATTCGTCTTTTGGAGGTGCAGAAAAAAGAAAATGGGTTATAATTTTGTCATTATAAAAGCACTTAAAAGAAATGCAAAGTTTTGGGAGATTTTTAAAATTTGATGTTTTTTGATATATTTGGATGCCCCTGTGGATGTATTATAAGCACTAGAAAATTTAGCCCCTAAAACACTTCTGCTTTCTAGAAATTGAATAATAAAAAATTTACCGGTGCTCCCGGTAAATTTCAAATATTTCAATTAGCGCCTAGGGCCATTCCATGGTAGCTGCGACCACGAAAATCTCAGAATATGCAGTTGTGATATATAATTTCCAAACGGAAATAGCAAATTGGTCAATTGTTGTTAATATAATTGTTTTAAGGTTAAAGTAATATCTGTCTTGGGAGGGAGCTATACAACATAAAGAGTTTAGTATTTAAAATTTCATCCCTTTTGACTCGATTTCTACCGCAACAACGATCATGGAATATTGTAAAATCGCATATGCTTCCAATATGTTCATTTAAACCAAATTCATGATCCCATACCAAAACTTTGTATTACCTTTAACATATAAGAATATTGTGACAACATCAAAGGAATGAAATGGTTGTCGGAATATAAGAGAATATAAACATTGAAAATGTTGATGACTACACATGGAGAAACACGAATTATAATCATTGTAACAGTAATAAACGAAGTATAGGGTTTTCCTTTTTCTTTCATTGCAAGCAAATTTGCACACAGTTTGATCGGGAGGGATTATTGTGCTTTGTTTTAGATAAATCCCATGTCCCAACGGATCGTACGACATTTTGTCGTGGTTGGCCCATAACATATTTGTCGAATATATATATATATATATATATATATATATATATATATAAATATTCAAACAAAAATCATTCGTATGTCAAACCTCTCTTTAAAGGCCAACTGTCTATATTTGCCATGTATTTAAGTTATTTATTTGTGTATAATACTTACAGGAATAGTTCCTATAGAAATGGACAACATTCAAGGACCAGGTACACAACCGACGGAGCATGGGCGAGGAGCTCTTCCCTCTATCCCAACCATCATAGCTGACCCATCTATTCACCATTCACCAGTTGCATCCCAAGTGACTCAAACCAATCGCCGTATGGCTCAGAGAAGCCAGGACCGGATTCCGCTTCAGTCACTCGTGTCTCCTGTGGATGATACTCTCGAGAGAGATCAGAACAGGACCATGGGAGCCAGGTCCAACCCTTGTACAAGGGTCAAAACGGTAATGCTTCTTCTTCTTCTTGTCATCGATACATAAAACGTATTTCTATCTTTAAAACAAAATGTCTACGGAATTAAAGAAACACACAGGTTTGAGAAATTCTTTCCGACATGTACCAGTTCATATTTCCACCTCGTGGAACGTGTTTTAAGGAATTGTGCTCTAAAAAAAACCCATAATAAACCCCATAGTGTCCCATTTACTTGGAATAACATAAACCTCAAGAAAAACAAAATTCCGTTATTTATTTTATATCAAACAGAAAAATGAAATGTTTCTTTCCCTCGCCAAACAAAATATAATTCTTGTTATCGCTGTAATACCATATTTGGATATTTTCAGGTTCCGGTGAATCCAGATGTTGAGTATGCTGTAGTAAACAAAAAGTCGCGATCAGGAAAATACCGGGCAGACAAGCACACACTAGATCTAGATATCTCTTCGGCGTCGGTAAGTAGTATTAATATTACTACCTAATGAAACCTGGCAATAATCTTTCTTTTGTAAGTACTTGAGGCTTGGATTTGCAACGGTCTATCAAAATATATTATTAGGTAATGTAGTAAATACTCACATCAGCCATTGGAGATCATTCATATATTGTATATATAACATCACTGGCTGTTTACATATACATTTTGCTTTTTGTTATTATGTACTTTAAACCGGAAGAAGATGGGGTGTCACATCATACTATGTCTTTTTTTTAATCTGTAGAGAGGGCCTCTGGATCCGTCAGTGGAGTATGGCACAGTCAATAAACAACGCAACATTTCTTCAAATCTCTGTTCATCATCTGCTCAGGTATTAATAGACAATATCTTTTCTTTTGATATATCCTATATGTTAGAAACTCTCTATTAACAGGATACACCCACAATGGCCACACTTGAAAAAACACCTTCAAATACACTTTGTTTAAAGACCCAGTTTGTCCTTAATTAGAGATTGTCCATATATTGAATAAATAACATCAGTGGTAATTTACACACACATAATACCCCCTAACATATTACATGCATAACATATTTTACAGATATTGACTGCCTATAGAGGGGCAATATAACATTTGAGATCCTCGAGGGAGTTATATCTTTGTCGAGGGACATTATATTATATTTTTCCAAAGCGCGTAGCGCTGAGGAAAAATATATTCCGAGACAAAAATATAGCTCCATATAAAAGAAAATGAAATGTGATATTGTTCCCGAAGGAAAAAGTCAATATCTGTTATATTATGGTGACTTGTATTCGATACAAAACACGATGCAGTCTCATAATCTTTCATATGTGTGAACTTTTACCCGCACGAGAGCTGCAGTACTTGAGCCAGGTCCTGGTCCTGTACTATTAAATTGTAGTATGACTATGACTAATAGCTGGATAGCGGGATGAACGCTAGCCGAAGTGAATGGTGCTGTAGGTCATTTACAATGTCGAAACCGAAAGCACTCACCTTTTAAAAATGTCTCTGCAATCCATAGAGGTCTATTAATAGCAGTGTTATCAAAGACGCTTACTATTCAATTCACAAACCTCCGCATAAACATGATCGAAGATTGAAACTTACTCAGTTCAGTTGCTATATAGATTAAATTATTTCTTTAAAAAAAATGTAAATCCTTTGTGTTCGCTGTAGTGTAAGCTTTCAGCACATTCTCAGCTACATTGATGACTTTCTCAGTAGAACGAGAATCTTTTTCATCCATTATTTTTAGTCCAATTCTTCTTCACCAAGAGAAGCGAAACAAATTTGTTGCAATTTCATATTTCGCGCTGCATGCAATTAAAGCGTGTATTTGTGTGTGAAGCAGCGGTGTAGGTGTGTAGTGAATTGAATTTGTAGTGTGTGCTTGAGGGATTACTTAAATTACGTCATGCCTCTGGATATAACGGCGTTATATTCAGAGGTATGACGTAATTTGCGTCATGTTGGAAAATATAACGCTTCTCATCCTTGTTTCGATGGCCATGTGACAGCATTTTGACCAATCACACATCAGTATCTATATAGGAAATGTAATATATATATAAATAGATAGACATACATATATTATTGAGGTATATTCACATTTATTTTATATTTACTTATCAAACCTTATCGATTCTCTCTCTCTCTCCCTCTCTCTCTCGCTTTTTCTTTCTCGATCAGAGAGATGGAAAGATGAACATATGTTCCATTTAACACTATTAAAAACGAAGAAAAACTGCAACAAACATAAACAGACAAACTACTTATTGCAAAAAGATTTCATATGGAATCTGAATAGCATTATCATTTAGTTCTAACACCCATTCAATAACACACTTATCTTCTTCTTATCGCAGCTTGGTCTCCTCGATCTGTCTATGGACTATGCCACAGTCAACGAGCGAGTTATAGACGTGACTGCTCAACAGAATATGGTATTGAATGTGTGAAGTTACGGGTTAAACATAATTATTAGAATACGAATGCGACACGTGCATTTCTATTAAAATTCATTGTGAACCAGATTTAAGAAAAATATCACAATGCACCCCAAGGTGGATATGTTTTCTGTGTGATCGCCAGTAAAACGTACTATGTACCTCCTGTTACCCTGCTGGAAAAGGAAGTTGATCCTGTATGCGCCGCTGGAGTTACTCTTGCCATCCTAATTTTAAGAGTTCCTTATTTTGTTAGATTATGGTAATTATCTTTATCAATATTGTGATACAAGCGAAGGTATTTAAGAGAATATCATGGCCAGGAGATGACCCCCACATGATATTTGGATCGTGCTTTATTTCCCAAGTATGAAGAACATTGGCATATACTTACTTTGCCATATAATAACATACTTGGCTGTGCTATTTGAAAGCAAGTAGTGAACTAAGAAATCTTAGTCTAAAATGGCAGAAATAGATACTGTTTTGATGGTGCACTTTAAACTAGAAGACGATGGGGCGTCACATTATACCATGTTTTATTCATTTCTGTAGAGTGGGCCTCTGGATCCGTCAGTGGAATATGCTACGGTCAATAAACAACGCAGCATTTCATCAAATCTTGGTTCATCTTCTGCCCAGGTATTAAATAGCAATATCTAAAAACTAAATAGATATGCATATACTATTATGTAAATATATATATATATATATATATGCATATAATATATTGATCATATAGAAAAAACACATATATTTATAATTACTTATCAAAACTTGTCGATTATCTCTCGCAGCTGTACTCTCGATTTTTATTTCTCTATCAGAGAGAGAGGGATGGATAAACATATGCTCCATTTAACAATGTCGAAAATGATGGAGAAAAACAGCAACAAATAAACAGACAAACTACTCATAGCAAAAAGAGATCACATGGCATCTGAATAGCCCTATCATTTAGTTTTAACACCCATTCAATAACACACTTATCTTCTTCTTATTGCAGCTTGGTCTCCTCGATCTGTCTCTGGACTATGCCACAGTCAGCGAGCGAGTTACAGACGTGACTGCTCAACAGAATATGGTATTGAATGTGTGAAGTAAAGGGTTAAACATAATTATTAGAATACGAATGCGACACGTGCATTTCTATTAAAATTCATTGTGAACCAGATTTAAGAAAAATATCACAATGCACCCCAAGGTGGATATGTTTTCTGTGTGATAGCCAGTAAAACTGACTATGTACCTCCTGTTACCCTCTTTGAATAGGAAATACTCCTGTATGCGCCGCTGGAGTTACTCTTGCCATCCTAATTTTAAGAGTTCCTTATTTTGTTAGATTATGGCAATTATCTTTATCAATATTGTGATACAAGCGAAGGTATTTAAGAGAATATCACGGCCAGGAGATGACCCCCAAATGATATTTGGTTCGTGCTTTATTTCCCAAGTATGAAGAACACTGGCATATACTTACTTTGCCATGTAATAACATACTTGGCTGTGCTATTTGAAAGCAAGTAGTGAACTAAGAAATCTTAGTCTTAAATGGCAGAAATAGATACTGTTTTGATTGTGTACTTTAAACTAGAAGACGATGGGGCGTCACATTAAACCATGTTTTATTCTTTTCTGTAGAGTGGGCCTCTGGATCCGTCAGTGGAGTATGCCACAGTCGATAAGCAACGCAACATTTCCTCAAATCTTTGTTCATCATCTGCTCAGGTATAAATTGGCAATATATTTTCTTTTGATATATCCTATACCTTAAAAACTCTCTATTTACAGGATTCACCTACAGTGCCCACACTTCAACGAACACCTTCAAATTTTTTTTCTTTTCCAAGAGCCAGTTTCTCCGAAATTGGATGTCATTCATATACTTTATAAATTACATCACTGGTTATTTACACCTACATAATAACCCCTTACACACATACATACATGCATAAACTATTAATAAATACATGTACGTATACAATATATTTATATACACGTATATTTATATCTACTTATCGAAACTGATCCATTCGCTCTGTCTGTCAAAGAGATGGAAAGATGAACATATGTTTCATTTAACAATGTTGAAAATTTAGAGAAAGAAGCACGAATAAACAGACAAACTATTTATTACAAAAAGAGAATAGATCACATGGGATCTGAATAGCATTAGCATTTAGTTTAACACCCATTCAATAACACACTTATCTTTTTCTTATTGCAGCTTGGTCACCTTGATCTGTCTTTGGACTATGCCACAGTCAATGAGCGAGTTACAGACGTCACTGCTGATCAGAATATGGTATTGAATGCTTGAAGTAACGGATACAAAATCAATATTATTAGAATACACATGCGACAAGTGCGTTTTTATCACAATTCATTGTGACCCACGTTTAAGAAAAAAATCACATTGTACCCTACAGTGGATACACGCACTATGTGACGACCATTGAAACTTATGCTAGGAGTCCACTGGGCCGGCGCCAGTTGGCGCCAGTTTGCGCCAATGCAATTTACTTTGGCGCCTAGTGTCGCCAATAAGGTGCCTAGTGGCGTGTAGTGGCTCAAACTGCCTCCCAACTGGCTCGTGGTGGCCCCTAACGGCACCAAATTTGAATGTGGCGGCAAGAAAATTTCAAAATGTTTGAAATTTTCGTCGCACCACTTGCATCGAGCAATCAGCGCCAAGTGTCCGCCAAGTGGCACCAAATGGCGCGAACATATCGCCCTTTGGCGCAAACAATCCGCCTATTGGAATCCACTGGAATGTAATGGCGCGCGCCAAGATGCGCCAATGGGATTTCGCGCCACATGGCGCCACTTGGTGCCAAGGGGCCCCTTGTTTGCGCCACTACGCGAGCCAAACGGCACCCGATTGGTGACTACTTCGCGCCAAATGCCACCTGATTTCCCGCCATTCGGCGCCACTTGCCACCTATAAAAGCAGGGCGGCATCGCAGGACTTTCTCACAGTGATGGCGGCAGTTCTCCAAGCTCCAGGGATGAGGTTGTGCTGGGCATCCTCCTGGTCCAACATGCGGACGTCCAGTGCCTGATAGCGCTTCCTGATGAGGTTGTGCAGCATTACGGCA